GGTTATTTGGCTATAACTTTTCATAGAATACAGTACAGATAATTGAACAAACTTTGTTGCATTACATTCTTGATTAAATTATCTTTCCATTGATATATAATTTTATGGTACTACTCCAAAAAAAGTGGTGTTATTAGCCATCAAACCTCAAAAATACACTTTTCCCAAAAGGTTTCCACAATTTTGGCCACTACTGTAACATATCTCATCCTGCAATTCATTCAGTTGAGCGTACTGAATGGGAGCCCTTTACCTAAAAATCTACACATCTGATCTATATTCACTATGAGAAACAATGTATTATTATTGAACGAGGACACAGACTGCTAAAGAGATTTACCATTTTCCATAGCCAACACCTTTTCAAATATGCACTGCTTATTTTTCAGAAGCTGTAAGTTTGTTATACCAATAATTGAATCTGTTTTATAATGTAAAAGATTTAAAATGTACATTTAAAATAAAAAGGCTGTGAACCCTCTTAAAGAATTTAGATACAAATAATAAAGGTGGGATAAAAATAAATGATGTAAATAAATTAATTTGTACAATTTGTAGAATCTTAATTCTTACCTAAATTGTGCTTTTATATTGCTTGGACTTGCTGATCTGGTTTGTATTTCTTTCTCTTGTTTCTCTCTTAAAATCCGCTCTGCTAGTAAAAAATAGGTAGCAGTGATATGATCGTATTTGTTAGTTTCCAGAGCCCTGAAGAAATGAAACATATATTAATCATTTCCACAAACTGGACATATCACCAACAGAACGTATCATGTTCCTTAACAGAAAAGTGGAAAAGTACCTCAGAACAGAAATTTGTACTCTAGACATCTTGACAAATGGCCACTGGATTACTAAAGACTAGTGAATTATTACAGTAAATTCAATAATCACACAATGTGTCAAGTTCGGAAAAAAACTCCATGCTGTTTCAGATTCTTTCTTTCCTTGACTTGCCAACAGAGACAGGAGGGGGAGAATGGAATGTGGGTTGTATCTGCAGCTGTAGAGATTGCTTTGGAAACTGAAGGTTCTTTCTCATAATAATTGTCTGATGCTTAATTGGGTAATGTGACCTGCACTGTCAGGGGGGGAAGGGAGTTGCTATGCTTTGAATATACTGCTTTTGCACCAATTTAATCAGAGCAGACTTGGAGTTCATTACTGCCGGTATGCATTTCCTAATAAAGTCTGGCATTAGAGATTGCAATGTCTCAGGTGTGTTTGCTTTGTTGGGATCATCAGCAGAAGTTGTGACAATATGCAGTTAGTCCTCGACTTATGACTGGTTGCTTAGCGTCCATTCAAAGTTATGATGGACCTCCCCGGAGTAGATAGATATGACCATATCAAAGTATAAAACAAAAATAAAATACAGAATTTAATTTCAGGGTAAAATAGGTAAAAGAAAATATAGTAATAAAATACATACAGATGATATAAAAAGTCTACACACCCCTGTTAAAATGCCAGGTTTTTGCAGTTGTGCAAGGAAGAGTGGGCAAAGATTCCCAAGGCAAGATGTGCAATGCTGATAGGCTCCTACCCCAAAAGACTGAAAGCTGTCATAAAATCAAAAGGTGCCTCAACAAAGTATTAGTTTAAGGGTGTGCATACTTATGCAACCACGTTATTGTACATGTTTTTGTTTTTATTTCCCCCCCTAAAAGATTTCAGTTTGTTTTTCAATTGAATTCTACAGCTTATATGTTACATTATAGATGGAAAAAATTCCAAAGTGATTTGTCTTGGTCTGATTTTTTTTGCATCTCAAAAACCTGGAATTTTAACAGAGGTGTGTAGAGTCTTTATATCCACTGTATGTGGTAAATACAAGGAATCAACATTCAGATAAACACATCACTTTTACAAGATACCCCAATCTGTTCGATGTAACGGGTTCTTAGCTCAACTGCCTTAACTTAGTAGTTCTACTGACACTGCATAGATTAGAACCCAGGAGGAAATTGGACAATCTGTGATTCAGATCCAAGTGGGCTGTTCTTTCAAGTAGGGATGTTAAGTATCTAAGCCTAAGAGGGGCATATAATTGACAATCAAACAAAACATAAGCAATGTCTTCGATGTCTGGAGCACTGCATATATACACGTCCTCTCATGATATGGCAGGTGGTGGAAGGACCCATATTTGGTCATGAAATCCAACAGCTCGAATCTGGCTCTAGAATAGGCCTTTTATGATATTGTGTCAATCTCGTTGACAGGCATTTTTCAAATTGTAAAGTAGCTTTGTTCTTAGCTAACCAACTTAAAGATCTATTTTTTGCTAGTAACTCCATGTCAGTTTGAGCATTGATGTCTAGGACTTTGTTTAAAAATGTCCCTTGCCTGGGAGTGTAAGGAACCACTTCAATCCACTTCAATCTTAAGAAAGCAGAACTCTTGGAAACAATCTCTTCCAACAGGAACTTTTAAGAGAAATTGATAGCAGGCATGATAGATAGGATCTGAGGGATTTCCTTACAAATCGATGTTTTAAAGTGTCCCTAAGCAGCCCCCACCCCGCAGTTCTTCTGGGCGATTCAGACCGGCAGATTTCTATGTGTTAAATCCAGGAAAGAGAACATCAATCCGGTTCCATTGTGCACGATCATTCAACAGCTCCTCACACCTTATTTTGATGACGGAGAAATAAACCAGATCCCGGAGGGCTGTATCATTTCACACACACCCCTTTTCCTAGCTGGCCGGTAAGGAGGAGAAGTTCAGAGGGACATAGGATAAGAGGCAAATGGTTACATTGTAGACCCGACGGTAGTAGTAGACCCGACGGCGAATAAGTAAAAGGTTACTTTGTTGTGAATAGCGGAAGTGAGAGTAATAAAACCCGCAAGCCTATCCCCCCTCCCCCTTGGGAGTATGGCAGGATCCAGGAAAGGGTAAGAATTGGTTTTAGATCAGAGAAGATAGATAGAAAGGAAATATAACTGGATTTTGACAGGGAGGCATTTGAGAGTAAATACTGAGTGGAAAACCTATACAGGTAGTCCTCGAATTACTAATGTAATGGAGCCTGCCCATTCCATTTGTAACTCAACGATTCCTTGAACGAGATCACTCCCTGCTTTCGCCCACACATTCGCTAATTGAATGTGCGGTTCGTTAAGTGTACAAGAGGTATTTCAGGGTGAGGAAGGCCATGGGGGGGCCTAGTGATGGAACAGACCCCCAAGGCCTCCCCAACCCACTAAGATACCTCATGCTTCCCCCTCCCTTCCTGCTGTGCCGGACTCACTTACCTTGCAAAGATCTGTCTCCTCTCTGCTGCAGTTTCTTTGCCTTTCAGGGAGAGGAGAGTTGATGGAAGCTCCTGGGAGCGAAAAGTGTTTGCGGTGCCTGTCTCCTGCTCCTCCCCAACTCCTTTCCGCCACCATCGGAACACTTTTTGCCCAGAGACCTAATGGAGACTGAAAGCTTTATTTGTGTGCAAATGGGGCACTTGGAAACGAGTGAATCACTCCATTTCCAAGCGTCCCATTTGCAAGCAGACGAAGCTTCCAGTCTCTCTCAGTTCTCCGTCCAGGCGAAAAGTGTTTGGGCGCCTATGGGGTGCTTAGAAATGGAGTGAATCACTCCGTTCCCAAGTGCCCCATAGGCGACCAAACACTTTTCACCCAGAGGGAGACTGTGTCATGCCTCCGTCCGAGCCTGACTCTGAGGAAGACATGGAGTTCCCTGTTGAGGCCCAGGAGGGGGTGTCTGTGGCTTTGGAGAACTGTGGGGACGAGCAGGCTGAGGCAGGCCAGGGCCCTTCAGGTTTGGAACAGGGAAGGCAGAGTTCAGGCAAAGAGCAAGGCCCCTCCCCACCTGATCCTAGAGCAAGGAGAGCAGAGAGGAGGAGGGAACAACGGAGGCAGGCTCACTTGCTCGGGAGGAGAGTGTCCCGGCCCACTCCACAAGGCACACCTGGGGAGTAGGATTTAAGGAGACGCTGTGGGATGGGGCATTTGCCGGGAACAAACGTGAAATCTTGAGATAGTGTGCTCTTGTAACCTGGACACTTTGTATTCTGGACCAGTTTGCTTCCTGCTGATCTCGCCTTGCAGTCTGCAGTTTGCAGTTAACAGTTCACAGGCAAGCTGGGAGTTAAAAGGATTATATGTTTGCTTGTTATCTGTCTTGCTTTAAGAACAGTGTAAACTTCCCTGGCTGTTTTGTTTGAACTCGTGCCAGCATATGTGGGGGCTGTTGGGTGAACATTGGCAGTGATTAAAAGACTATTGCTCTGGCCAGCTGATTGCTTTGCCTCCGTTTGGGGCCCTGGGTCATCACAGACTGGAAGCTTTGTCTGCTTGCAAATGGGGCGCTTGGAAACGGAGGGAATCGCTCTGTTTCCAAGCACCCCATTTGCAAGCAGACGAAGCTTCCAATCTCCATCAATTCTCCATCTGGGTGAAAAGTGTTTGGGCGCCTATGGGGCGCTTGGGAACGAAGCAATTTAATCCGTTTCCAAGCGCTCCATAGGCACCCAAACACTTTTCCTCCAGATGGAGAACTGATGGAGACTGGAAGCTTCGTCTGCTTGCAAATGGGACTCTTGGTAATGGAGCAAATTGCTGTGTTTCTAAGTGCCCCATTGGCGCCCAAACACTTTTTGCCTGGATGGAGAACTGATGGAGACTGGAAGCTTCGTCTGCTTGCAAATGGGGCGCATGGAAACGGAGAGAATTGCTCTGTTTCCAAGTGCCCCGTTTGCAAGCAAACGAAGCTTCCAGTCTCCGTCAGGCCTCAGTCTGGGCGAAAAGTGTTCCGGTGGTGGTGGAAAGGAGTTGGGGGGGGGGGGAGCAGGAGACATGCATCACAAACACTTTTCGTGCCGAGAATGAAAGTTTCTGGGGATCGTGGTCTCACGAGAGTTCAGGCACCCATTCTCTGCAAAAGAGGATGGGTGCCTGAACTCGTGCAATATTACGGTGCCCAGGAGCTTCCACAGACTCTCCTCTCCCTCAAAGGCAAAGAAACCGCAGCAGAGAGGAGACAGATTTTTGTAAGGTGAGTCTGGCAGGGCAGAATGGGAGGGGTAAGCAGTTGTGGGGAGGGGGGGAATAGGGTGAATGTTGCAGACCCTCTGCAGTCGTTCGTAAGGGTGAACAACTGCTGTGGTGCTGCAACATTTGTAATTTCGGAACTTGCTCGTAAACACTAGGGGGCGCTTATCGTGTAACTTCGAACGAATCCAAAAAGAAGTGCGATGCCGCCCAGCCCCCAGCCTGCCTGGTTTCGGCAGGCAGCGGGGCGCTCTCCTCATAGCGCCAAGAGCTGAGCCGGGTGGCACGAATCTGATGAGAAGTGCAATGCTGCCTAGCCCCCAGTCTGCCCAGTTTCAGCAGGCAGCAAGGTGCAAAGCTGAGGAGCTTTGCACCGCCCGGCTCAACCTCTCGGCGCTGTGAGAGCGCCCTGCTGCCTGCCGAGACCGGGCAAGCTGGGGGCTGGGCGGCATTGCGCAGGTAACGTTGACTCTCATGCTGCTCGTGGCATCCCCTCTCCCAGAGCCCACCAAGCCAGATATGTGAAGTAGGTGAGGGCCATGTGCTGGCTACTTCCAGGTGATGGTGCATTTCTTCATTCCTCACGAAGGGTGACACCTCCCCAGCTGCGTTTCTTGCCTGTTTTTCTCCCTCCCTCATGTCAAATATTTTCCCACCACTCTGTACTTAGGAAGGAAGGAAAGAAGGAAAGGAGAGGGA